GGGGTATTGGAATGAATTTTTATATGGTAGTTATAATAAATTTATGATTTTTTAACTTTGTTTTAGTTAAAATTACTAACATTTATCTCAACTTTTATAAATAAACAGGAAATTGCAAAAATGAGGGCAGCTCGCCGCTTGTGGGCTCATATGGTTCAAGAACATTTTAATCCAAAAAACCAAAAATCATTAATGTTACGTACACATTGTCAAACATCCGGTTGGTCACTTACTGAACAGGTGGGTTCCTATTTGTTAAATTCTTGTTATTTAGAAAATATTAACATTGACTAATTATTATAGGATCCATATAATAATATTATAAGAACTACTATAGAAGCAATGGCCGCCACATTAGGAGGGACACAATCCCTTCATACGAATTCATTTGATGAAGCAGTAGGTCTTCCGACAGAAACCTCAGCTAGAATTGCTCGAAATACACAACTTATTCTCCAGGAAGAAGCTTTTATTCCGAAAGTTGCAGATCCTTGGGGAGGTAGTTATATGATGGAAAGTTTGACAGATGAGATTTATTATGCTGCAAGAGAAGTTGTGGAAGAAATAGAGAAAATGGGTGGTATGGCAAAAGCTGTTGCAAGTGGTATGCCAAAGCTAAGAATTGAAGAAAGTGCAGCCCGAAGACAAGCCAGAATTGATTCTGGTCAAGGTTGGCTTTTCATTTTGACACATCTTTCTATTTGTATCCAAATAATACATCTATTCTTTGAAATTTAGAGACAATTGTTGGAGTAAACAAATACCGTCTTGACACTGAGACAGAAATTGAGGTCCGTACTATTGACAACACTAAAGTAAGAGAAGAGCAAATTAACCGCATAAACGATGTCAAGTCGGCGAGAGACGAGGCTCGAGTTAGTATATAAAATATCCGGTTCAATAATGTTATATCATGCTTATATATATAATATATATATTTTTTTTCCTTAGGCGCAAAATGCATTAAACGCTCTAGAAGAATGTGCAAGAACGGAAAATGGCAATTTACTGGAATTAGCTATTGAGGTATTAAACCTATTTAGATCGATGGTTTGGCCTATAATAATCCGAATTACATATTTTTTTTGACATTAAAGGCATCAAAGGTACGATGTACTGTGGGTGAAATATCATATGCACTTGAAAAAGTATGGGGGCGTCATGAACCAACGAGTCGTGTTGCTAGTGGTGCTTACAAATCTGCTTATGGAACTGCGGAAGAAACAGAAGAAACAATTAAATTAGTAGAGGTTAATATCATATTGTATTCAGTTAATCGTTGAAAATTATCAGTAAATGTACTCATATTAATTTATACTATAAAGCAAACGAAAGAAAAATTGGGTGTTAACCCAAGAATTTTGGTGGCAAAATGTGGTCAAGATGGACATGATCGAGGGGCCAAGGTGATTGCTTCAGCATTCAGTGATTTTGGATTTGATGTCGATTTATCTCCATTATTCAGTACACCTGAAGAAGTAGTACGTCAAGCCATTGACAATGACGTCCATGTGATTGGAGTTTCTTCACAGGCTGCTGGACATAAGACACTGATACCGGCACTTATAAATGAGCTTAAGAGGCTTGGTGTAAATGACAAAGTTGTGGTAGTTGGGGGTGTTATTCCACCTCAAGATTATAAGTTCTTATACGATGCAGGTGTCAGTTCAATATTTGGACCTGGTACTAAAATTCCCGATGCTGCTAAGGAAGTTGTTTTAAAAATTCAACAAAACATAAAAGATGATTCTTTACCATCCGAAAAGTCTGTTAATTTAAGTTAACTTGTTTAAATTTATAAAATTTTAATTAATTAGTTGACTGATAGTAAGTTTCTCTGTATTGTATATAATGAAACTTTGTTTCAATCAATTAATCAAGATATTAAATTAATATTATGTATAATCAGTAATATATATCAATCCTTGAGAAGGCTTCTTTCAACTGT